AAAAAATCTATAAAATCTCCGATTCTCACATGAAAAAATGATCTGCAGTGTTCACATCTTTTTGCAAAGCGCAATAATATCTCATACTTGAAATGCTAAATTCTGAAAAAAAAAATATAAAAAATGTTGAATAATTATAATCCTGAAAAATTATAAATACTGTAAATCATCATCCGGATGTAACAATCCCGAATATAATAGCATCTCATGAACTGCCATTAATATAAAATATTGATTTTTATGTTACATTCGGAGTTATTGTATTTGGAATTATTACATTCGAGATTATTCACTAGAATATATTTACGGGATTGTGATTCTTTATGATTAAGGGATTTTTTTTTTATCAGAGTTTAGCCTTCAGGTTAATGAATAGCCGAAATATTGTTCTTTCTGGATTTTAAATGTCGGGCTCTAGTACCATCAGGATTTAGTTTTTCGAGATATCGTACTAAATCCCTGAATGAAATTAAATTGTAAACTTGAATAAAATGTTTAGGTTAATAAATGTTCTTATACTCGTATCCTAAGAATTGATTTCATTGAAACGTCGATGTAGTTATTTGGCCAAAATGATACATGCTACTTTCGTAATGATGGATTGGATCGAATGCTATCTGCTAAGAAAATCACTGTTTGAAGGGAGGTTTTAGTTTAAGAAACATGCGATTAAAGTTTGTATTGCAAGAAATTTTCAATTCCAGTTTTTTTTTTTTTTTTTTTTTGATTTATTTATACAGTTGAACTTCCCTGATCCTGTCGAAACTGATAACCTGTCAAATCTGATAAAAAAATTAGTCTACCAAGTCTGTTTTTAATACATAAATCCAATGTTTTCAAATCTGGTAACCTCTCAATACTGATAAAAAACCTGTCCACCGTATATATCGTCCAACCATATATATATATTGTTATAAATTTTTATACGATCAAGGTTATATGCTTAAAGTTGGCAGGTAAGATTTTTCGAATTTTAAGATTTTCGGAAAATAAAGCTATGAATCCGAAAATAGAGAATTCTACTTTCTCATTATTTAGCACAGCAATGATCACTACTATATTAAAATTAGAGCAAATAAAAATTAAATCCTTACAATTAAATTACACAAAATATAATTTTGATCTCGTATTTTATTCTTGCTTTGATGATAATGAATTCAAACTTTAAATCGGGTTAAGTGAAATAATTAGGCGATCAGTAATTATTTTTTTTTCACAATTATGTAAAATGGTCTCGATTTAGGGTTTGAAATGAAATAATTATCTGAAAAATTATTTAATATCGATATTGTAACATTTGAATCGGTAGACCATTGGAGCGACAAATCAGAGATCAATGGGTTCGGTTATCATTGATCACTGCTTAAGATTTGGGTATTACTCACTATCGCTATCCTTACCAACTGTTTTTTGAATAAGATCCGAGAATATAATTACGCATATTGATTGATTAATTTTAATATGATATATCCCCTAAATACAATACTTGGTTCTTCACACGGTACCCATTAGGGATGCCGACTATACTCATGATGAAACTTGATAAAAATATAAACTATCCACGTGATAGGTTATTACTATTTATATTTTTGAGGCTTAGGCTAAAAACGTGAAAACGTTTAAAATATAAACTGATAAACTTTATATACTTGCGATAAAACAGATAAAATAATAAAATAAGTAGCCGAAAATTTATTGGAGCTTTATTTACAATAAACGTATTTATTAATTATTAGTATAGTACATATTTAGCATTTATTGTGTAATACATTTTAAAGCTAATTACTATCGTTTTCAATCCTTAAAATCTCATCAACAATATTCGACACTTCAAAGTCCATATTTCCATGACCTTTGCTTGACGTTGGCTTAGATTGTGGCCTTTCATAATATGATTCCATGTTGTTAAAATTAAAAAAAGGTAAAGTAAGATCTGCAATGTCTTCGATCTTAGGTTTTGTATTAGAAAGCAAATTAGAATTTACTAATATAGAGGGAGTATCTTGATTCACGATTTAAGACTCTACATCATCAAATATGTCATTTGTATTAAATATATCAATGTTCGAAGATAAATTAATCGGAATTGTTGCCATATTGGCACATGCCCGCAGTTCTTCTTCTGTTAGATCTTTTCCATAAAGTTCAAGTTCTTTTCGGATTTCTGAAAGCCAATACATTCGTAGTTTGGCCATAGATTCAATTCGCTTAATTGTAAGGTGGTTTCTTCAATCACATAAAACCATTTTAGGATGGAGAAACTTCGCTCATATGCAGCTTGAGATGGCACAATCAAAAACATTTTAATTGCCAAATCTTCTAAGTATGTATGATAGTTTATATTATATGTTAACCACCATGTAAGTGGAGATTCTCTTTGAGCATTAAACTCTACTTTGTAAGGATCTTCATTATGAATAAATTTGCGAAATTCAATTAATAAATCAATGCACTCAGCTTCATCATATCCAAAATATATGTTAATAAACTTGAAGCCCAAACTGCAACATTGGCGGACTGCTTTATTAATATGCTAAAATTAGCTACAGCGATTTATCAACTTCCAGAAATAAATCCATTTAAATTACAAATTATAAAAATTTATAATATACGATATGAGGAATTTAACCATGAGGCATATATTTTAAGTTATTGTTTACATCCATTATATCATGGTAAGTAAATTTAAATTTATGTAAATTATATATTTGAAATTTTTATTAATACATAATAATATTATATAATTAAATTAGGTTATGGTCTTAAAGATCAATTATTTCATTTAGCCAGCCTTATAGCTGGTAACTATTGAAAAGCTCTTGATCAGTTGCATAATTTGATTAATATGATGACAATTCATAAAAAAAGCATCATTGTTAATTATATTTTTTACAAAGTGATTTGTTAAACAATTTTCATGATTAATTTGAAGCTAAAAAAATCAATTAATATAATTAATACTTTATATTATTATATAAAATTATAACAGTAATAAAATATGAATTACCCAATTAAATACTGGTCATAAACATAATAATGAATCTGTTGTATTACATAAAGAACACTATCTTGTTTTTGAATAAGTTTGCAATCCACTACCTTTAATTTTCATTGCACGAATACCATCTTCTATTAACTAATTAGGTAAGTATGATTTAT